CCCACTGCAGCGGTACCAGCCTTTCTGCTGGACGGCACTTGGCCTTGGATGAGTTGCCAGCTAGATTGCTGTGGCAGCACCAGTCCTGGTGCTGGACTGGCATGCAGCCCCGAATGGGCTACTAGCCTGTCCTGGCCCCACCTGGTTTGCTGCGGACCTGGCTCCACTGCTGCAGCCCCATGCAGGCTTCCCGTGCTGAGCTGTGGCTGACCTTACTTCCAGCTGGACTGTCATGGCCCTGCCCCCACTGCCAGGCCAACACACGGCCCAATTACGCTGCCCCGACTCCAGCTGGGTTGCCAGTCTGCCCCTGCCTCACTACCATGGCCCTGCTACCCCCAGTGTGCTGCTGAGTCCCTGGCCCCACTATCATCAGCCTTGCTGTGAGCAGGGCTCTCCTGCCATGGGGCTCTCTTGTTCAGGAACATCATTGCCAGACAAGAGAGTCCCAATTTAGGCATCTGACGAAGTGGGTCTTTGCCCACGAAAGCTTATGGTGCCACAGGACTTCTCGTTGTTTATGCAGATTCAGACAAACACGGCTACCCCTCTGATACCAGTTTGTGGAGGTGCAACCTGTAGTACAATAGTTGGTCTAATTTGTTCGGTTCTTATGGTCCCAAATTTACCTGAACCATTCCATTGCAATGGAGCAAACCAGGCACATTTGCTCTTGTGAGTCCAAAACTATGTACCATGTTCGACAGTAGCAGTGTTATCCTATATGTCCCCTCATGACTGAGTGACCATCCTAGAGAGCAGTGACAGGTTTTTTGCAACAGTGATACATTGATTCATACTTAGTTTGTGATCCACCATGACCTCAAGACTCCACTCCACTGTAATCCTTCCTAGGCAATCATTCCCATTTTGATATGTGCAACTTATTATTCCTTCCTAAGAGGAGTACTTTGCATTTATCCTTATTGAATTTCAACCTATTTACTTCAGACCATTTCTCTAGTTGTTCTCCATCATTTGAATTTTAATCCTTTCTTCCAAGGGCTTTACAACCCCTCCCAGCTGGTACTGTCTGCAAGGTTTATAAATGCACTATTCCATTAGCTGTATCAATGATGATGATATTGAATAGAACTGGATCCAGAGCCGATCTCTGTGGTATCCCACTTGTCTCTGGGAACAGTTTTCCAACGAGTTGTGCATCCACCTTACAGTAGCAACATTTAGGATGTATTTCCCTAGTTTGTCTGAGAAAGTCATGCAAGAGAGCATCAAAAGCCTCAATAAAGTTAAGATATACCACATCTATCACTTCTTGTCCATCCACAAAGTTTGTTATCCTGTCAAAGAACTATTCAGTTGGTTTGACACAATTTGTTCCTGACAAATCCATTCAGACAGTTACTTATCATCTTATCTCCTAGGAATTATCTTTCATTCCTAGAGATGCTTTTGGACAGGACAGGAGTCTGGGTTAAAAAAGAGGAAGCGGCATTGCCAAACAGCAGCAGAAAGGAAAGCCCCAAGGATAGAGACGGGTAGATGGCATAACAGTTACCTCAAATTGAGTGATCCTTGTGCAGTGGACACAAAATTAGGATATGAGGGGCAGAGGAGCTTTCCCCCTGGTAGGAAGATAAATCTCATCACCTGCTTCCCAGGTCTGTGTTCTCAAAGGCACAGTGCATACCAGTGTCTAGATAAGGCTATGTTTCTTTATCTGAAATGATGTTTTGAGCTGCTAAAAGAGACTGGACTTGGTGGAATATTTTACAAGAACACACAAGCACCCCAAATTATAGCTACCATACATAGTGTTAGTATTTAAAAGAACCCTAATCCAGGGCTGCTGCAACAGAATGGGGGTAAGGGTCCATGACCATATCACTTTTTACCTGCCTTAAGGGTGAGCAACGATGGGAGGGGATGGAGAGGAGCTAGTGAAGGACAGAACCTCAGGAAAAGAAGTGGAGCCAGGGTAGGGCCTCAAGGAAGAGATGTTGCAAAAGCATGGTCTTATGAGGAGAAGGAGGGGGGGCATGGCCATGGTTCGTGCACTGGTGCCCTTCAAACTTCTAGGGAGATTTCAGCACTCCTGCCCCGATCAGTTTATATGTTTGCATAAAGCCTCCTGGCAGTTCACAAATGTGTCTTAGCTGCTGTTCTGATGGCCTAAATTGAACAGTCTTTTTCTTATGCACTGTAAATGTAGCTTCTTTTCTTTACATTTATTTACTATTTAAAATGCTATTTTTATTACTCTTAGAATGTCATCACATTCCATCATTATCATTTTGCAGACAAGGCATGGTGTTACTTATATTTTAAATACCAATAATTCATATTTAAATAGATATCAGTAGCTTCAGCAATCACACTTCATGCACTTCTGTAATTTACATTTTTAATTCTAGTTTTTCTTTTTTTTAATGACAAGTTTGTTCTTCGGGCACATGCACATATCAAGGCTGACTGATTTCCTGAGTTGATATCAAAACTTCTTCAGTTTCTTTTGATCTGCCAGCAGGGATAGGCTTTGTCACTTTTATTTTGCTTTTCTAAATACCCTAGTGCTTTTTTGTGTCACTGTTTCTGTATAGAACTTGGTTCCCAAATAGTCTTAGAGGGACAGAATTTTAAAGGCCATAACCACCGAGATGTTTTTGAGAATCCCATGAGTCATCTAAATATTTTTAAGAATCTGCCCCTAAAGTTTCTTAAACTTTTTAAGACTGAGGAACACCACACAATATTTTTTTTTTTTTTTGAGGAACACCAAGGACTGTTGAGAAGAAAAAAAAAAAAAAAAAGATTGCCTGCCCCCTCTTTAGAGCGACCATTTTGAACTCTGTTGTCCTCCACTGCACACTGGTGTGCCACGGAATACTGTTTAAGAAACACTGCATTATATTATCTTGTATGAAATTCTTTTCAAAGACAAATTTGTACTGTGATTTTCCTTTTTGACAACCCCCAAAAATGTGTAGGGTAAATTGAGGCAGTCCATGGTATCTTGCTGAGAACTCATAAACTCAAATCTGGAAGTATCAGGCCAAGCCTGGGAAGCATACAGTTCAACAGTTACTGTGACCCTGGTTCCCCTGGCAACTACATTCCAAAGGACCTCACTTTGATAAGGCCAGTACCAAACAACCGCGTGGGATTGTTTTTCATTGTCTGCTTTGTTCCTAGAAAATAAGCTTGGATCCCAAAGATCGCGCTAAGGCAATACCACCCCCGCAGGAAACGCATTATATTTCTGGCCGACAAAATGACCATCAACATGTCTTTGTTTATGTTGGCTTATTTAGCTTGTTAGGAATAACTACCTGTATTAGTGATAACATGTTTAATTGGCAATGGGCAGAGATTCTGTGTAACTGTCATAGACCATTGGCTTATGTATATTTCACTTCCGCTTCTAGACCTATCAGATCACTTCTCGTCTGTCCATCTGCTACCTATATAATCTAATGTATGTTTTGGTTAAGTTAGTGCTCTCCGGGCTAACACTCCACCAGTGCTGTGTGTTCAATAAATCCTCTGCTTGTTTTCACCTGCACCAGTGTATCCAAGAATTATTCCCAACAAATTAAAAAATGAGTTTATGCATCCTAAAATCATGAAGTTAAAAAAACAAACAAAATTTTGAGTTTATTTGTGCTTTTGTTTCTAAGCCTTTAGAGTGCACTAGTTTCATGCTTTTGCTATTACCTTTCCCAAATAATCCATACAACAGTTGTACATTTTATCATTCAGTACCATTTTAGATTTCCAATGTGTTTTGTTCTGATCCATTTCAGTAATGTTCTCCTTTCTGACAAGTTTAATTTTTGTGCAGCTAAAATAAAAGATATTTTAAAATTAATTAATTGATCTGTTACTCCTTTGCATTGGCTGGGAAGCAGCATAATGCTGGCCTCACCTAGCTTGCCTTTTGGCAAAAGTGCCACTTACAGTGGGCTAGATCAGTGTTTCTCAACCTTTTTTTTTTTAATAAAGTACTCTTTTAAAAAAAATTTAAGTACCCCAAGTACCTACAGTTTTCAGACACACAATTTTTTTCTACCGTTGCAACACATTTGTTTAAACAATTTAATCATAGTTGGGGAGGATTACATTTTTGGGTGTAAAATGTACAAAAATAATAAAATGCTGTAAACTTAAAACAAAAATTGAGTTTTCTCAAAAGGGTACTGGTACCACTGGTTGAGAAACACTGGGCTAGATAATGCATGATAGAATCACGGGAGCTATGTCTACATTCGTGGCTTCTTACGCAAGAAATATGCAAATGAGGCTATGCGTAGAATATTGCCGAGCCTCATTTGTATACCTATGGAGCCATCATTTTTGCAGAAGAGGCTCTTAGGTCAGAAGGAACTATCTACACTGCCCCTTCTAGTGCAACAAAAGCCCTCTTGTGCAGTGCTGTTATTCCTGAAAATAATCAGCATAGCGGCATTGCGCAAGAGGGTTTTTGTTGCACAAGAAGAGGCAGTATAGACAGCTCCTTCTGGCCACTATTTTTGCTCCTTCTGCAAAAATAGTGGCTTATTAGGTATGAAAATGAGGCTCAGCGGTATTCCATGATTAGCCTCCTTTGCATATTTCTTGCACAAGAAGCCACGAGTGTAGACATAGCCGAGAGTGTTTTAACTGCAGGGCTAGCAGTGAGGCCCCAGATTATAAAGCTGACACAGATGTTGAGTGCACTGTTACTTGTGTCTATCCTGGGTAACCCGGCTCCTTTGCCATCGGAGGTGGGGGGAACATGGGGGAACGAACCAGCGACTTAAGAGTCTTTATTCCCCTGGCTCAAGGAGGGCTCGTCTACACGGACACGCTATAGCTGTGAAGTTCGTGCTTGGCCCCCCGCCCCGTGTCACTCCTGGAGCGGGTGCAGGTTGCTTTTTGCGACAGGGAACCTCCCTGCAGGGCCGGTAGCTGCAGCAAATTACGCCGGAAGCAGTTTAATGTTACACCGCAGTCTCGGGGCTTGCCGGTCTCTCGAGCCGCGTTCTTGCAGATCATTCCATGCCTGGTATGGCTGCGCCTGCGCGGAGCCCGGCCTCTAGTCCCGGCAGGCGGGGCGGAACCAAGGTGCTGAGGGCGCGGTGCTGGGGGTCTGGTTTTGGAGGGACCACGCCTCCCGGAAGCGTTGGTGAGAGTGGGGCTTGATGCGGGAGACGGCGGCGGAAAGCCTGCGGCGGGGCCTGGAGCGGCTGGGGCCCCTTGCGGAGAATAAGACGCTGCGATACGGGGTCCCTATGATGGTGAGTAGCGGCAGGCAGGGGGCGGGGCCCGCGGCGCTCTCGGCGGCAGGACTCAGTGGAGGGGGTGGGGCCTGATGCAGGGGGCGGGGCCCGCGGCGCTCTCGGCGGCAGGACTCAGTGGAGGGGGTGGGGCCTGATGCAGGGGGCGCGGCCTGTGGCGCTTTCCGCGGCTCGGTGCTGCCTCTGTGTGACGCAGGCGCGGTGGGGAGGGGCTGTGCGCGAGCCCGATCGAGCCCCCGCTGCGGGGGATGCTGCTGCGCTCGGGGGCTCAGAAACTGGCCCGGGCCCGGCTCGCGCCTCGCTTCCACCGAGGTCGCTTCGCCCCAAAGCCCCGCCCCCCCCATGCATCCCATGGAGCGGCCTCTGTCCGCGGGGAGCTGCCTCCCCTCCCCCACGGACAGCCCCCTGCCACCCCACACAGGCTGCGGCGCAGAGTAGCAGGGGGCTCCCCGGGAGTGAGGCCGGGAGCAAACTCTGCTACTGGCCCAACCTCTGGGGACCGTCCAATAATGGTGCAAGGGCCAAGTTTATGATGGGGTTACAGGATTATTCAATAACATCCCTAGCCCAGAACCACTGGTGTAAAGTAGGGATGTTAGCTATCAGGTAACTGAATAGTCGATTACCCGCATGGATTTTTATGGGTTACTTGACTATTTTATTGTTCCCAGGGCAGGGTTGGCAACCAGTGCAATCAAGTCCCTCTCTTGGGCAGCCACCCTGCACTGCTGCCTCACAGTGCCCAGCAGGAGCTGGTCTGCATGGGCAGGGCTCGACAAATTGCTATATCTACTTGCCGGTGGCGAGTAGATTGCAGCTGTTTGCCCTGTTCACCAGCGATGCGTGCATGTGCAGTGCCGGTCTGGCGCATGCGCAGTGCGGAGCTGGCGAGCAGATCTCGCCGCGGTTTGTTGAGCCCTGTGCATGGGGAGCCAATTTAAAAACCAGTTCTCCACACAGACCAGCTGTCTTCTCCCATGGAGCACTGCCAGGGACAGAGGCTGATCCAGTAGCAGCCCCTGTCTGCAGGGGGTCCCAGGTCTCCATGGACAGAAGCTGTATCCACCTCTTTTCCTTTCCTGTTGCAGGAAGGCACAGGGGCAACTCTTTCATTCCCATCTGCAGGTTATCATCCAGGCCTGTATGACACTTGGTTCTTCATTACAGAAGAAGGGTTCTAGTTTTCAGTCAGTGTTGTTTCCTGTTCCACAGTCAACTCTGTCTGCCCAAATAGGGATTTGCATGTCAGTGTCCCATTCCCCTAGTGACACTTTAAATGATTTTGAGACAGCAAGACTCTTTGGCACCACTGCCAATAGAGCTGGCCCCATATGCTCTTCTGAGATGCAAAGCATGTAAGATTACATCTCTGGTGCAATTAACTCATTTAAAGGTGACAGGAATGGCTTTCCTTTGGACAAATACAGATTGTTATACAATAATTAAGAAATAGGTATTCAGACTTAAAAATGAAAAATAATTTGTTTTAAAATGAATATTGCTATTGACCACTGCCTGGGCTCACAGTAGGTGCCTAGATTCCAGTTCATGTTTCTTCATTTGTCTGCAACAGCCAATTACTCTTTAAGCAGCTAAAGCTGTGTAAGGAATATAGCGGTGGCACTGCTTATGGTTTTTGTTCTGCCTTCAGCTATTGTAAGAACAGGTATATTGTTGTGAACAGAGTTCAAAAAAGAACTGGATAAACTGGAGGATAGGTCCATCAACAGCTATTAGCTAGAATGGGCAGGAATGGTGTCCCTAGCCTTTGGGCGAAAGGGGAGGGATCATTTGATGGTAACCTGTTCTGTTCATTCTGACTGGGGCTCTGTTTGTCTATGCCCCATACAGAGCAGGGAACAGAGTTCAGCTAGGAAGGAACACACCATCAGCATTGGACTAGGTGGTTAGTAGTTTCCAGGTACCATCAAAGGAATGACAGTGGTATCCAAAGCTCCAACTAACTACTTATTTGTCTTATTTGGCAGGACTGTTTTAATGTATATGTTTTGGGGTTATTTTTATCTTTGCTTGATGTGCGGGCCACCTGGGAGCTCTAATGTTCAGAAAGGTTTTATTTACATTTTGAAGCCTGTATTTTTAACATGCAGTGTTTTCTTTGGGGTAAGCAGTCTCTTGCAAGCCTAACCGACTGATGAAACCACCCTATTTTTATAAATAGCCATTTAAATAAATGGTTGTCTGAGGATCTCTGAAGAAGTGGGCTGTGCCCACGAAAGCTCATGATACTATCTATATGTTTTGTTAGTCTATAAAGAGCTATCAGTCTATTTGTTGTTTTTTCAGTTTACTTGTACAGACTAACTCGGCTACCCCCTGAAGTTAATGAAATGGGTTCACATTCCAAAAAGTAGTGAATTTCTGAATGCCTGATCCTTTAGTGGGATGGATCAGTTCACTCGGCTTCCATTGAACTTGTAAGATGTAAATGAAGATGGCACATCCTAGAACTGAGGAAGATTATTGCTGTGAATAAAGATTAAATAAAAATTAATTTAAAAAAGACATTTTTGCTATTGACTTCTTTGCATACAGATCATTACTACAGTGTCTATTATTGCTTCAAGTGCCAAAACTCCCACTGCAAACAGACAAGGAGCATTTTCTGTGCTTCTTGATTTTCTGTCAGCGTTATGTCACCCATAAGCTCACCTACAGCATTCCACCATCAATTTATAATATATGAATTTCAAATTCTTCAGTGAATTTATATTTATTGCCTCATATGACTTGGCTGTTCGCAATACAATTTACCATATGAAACATACTGAATTTAAACCTTCATATGATTTTGAGGTGCAAATAAGTCTTAATATTTACTCCTGAGAACCAAATTGGATTCTGTGTCTTGTAGGTAAACTCATGTATATGTAAACACTTACTAGTGCTGCACATAGAGGATACAAATCTTTTTTGTTAATTCTATTTTAGACTTTAAAACAATTTCGCACATCCACTGATTCATACATCATCATTGTTATGTGTCTGTGACTATTACTCCAAGAATTGCTTCTCCAATCTTACAAGGAGTGTGTGTGCTGGCTCCCTGCTGTACCACTACTTCTAACCTCTTAGAAGAGAACCTCAGTTGTGCACAGCTGAATGGTCTGCTATGGCTGGTACAGCTGCCTGGTTTTCCTGAGTCCTTTAGTGGGTTAATTTAGATCTAGGCTAAGGATATAAGCAAGTAGTCAACTAACTGATAAGCCTAAAGTTATTGCTTAGTCAAGTTGAGTACTCAACTAGTTGCATTCCCCCCATCCTGTATCAGAGGAAGCAAGGGGGTGGGAAGCAGGAGTCGGCGTTGGGGGGGAGCCAGCTTAAGAGCTGGTTCCCCTGGCACTGTCTCCATAGTGCTGCCTGTCCCCCTCCCCATGCTGCTGCCTCTGTCAGAGGCAGTGGCGTGGGGAGGGAGGGGCAGGGGAGGCTGCCACGAAGCAGCTTCTGCCTGGGGCAGGGAACCCCCTGCAGACAGGGGGTACTGGACTTGGCATGAGTTGGGACTGAATAATCCCAGCTCAGTCCCAGCTCATGCTGGGTGCGAGAGCTACCCCTGAAGTGACTCTGCAGTTTAAATGTGGTAGGAGCCGGGCTGTCTGCTCACCCTGCTCTTACTACATTTAAACTGCAGAGCTGTAGCAGGGGATAGCTCCTGGACCCAACGTGAGCTGGGACTGAGGCTTCCTTTCTTATCTACTAATTGTGTAATTCATAGAATTGCTATCAACTACACGATTAGCTAATTACTCGCTTCCTAACGTGTAGTCTAGGCCATGTGTATGGTTCTGAATTAATGTCTTCCCAAAGCAAAGCAATGTTCTTCAATTTTGTGACTTAGACCCCAACTTCATTTTGAATAGATTGTGTATGTGTAAATTTAGTTCTAGCCAGCCCGACTGTCATGTAGACTGATTTCCTCTGGTTAGCCTCAGGAAATACACAACAGCAGCAGTGTTCTTCTCCTTCCCCCTCCCTCTGTACAGCCCTACAATGTGTGTCAGTCCTCCTCAGGTAGAAGAACTGGGAAGGGCAGGAGATTAGTTCTGTTCCCATGCTCATTCAGTTTTTAATCCTGTCTTAATACTGACTGCTAAGGGGACAGTTAATGACAAGATTGGTGGTGGTTTCTTTTCATGTTTTTTATGTAGTCATTACTCTAATGGTAATCAAACTTATACTCCACACCATCAGCACCAAAGAGCTATCACATGGAAAGAGCTTTGGTCACAACAAATCTTAGCTGGATTTATTTGATCTGTGGATGGCAGTAACCTTTATTTTTAAAATAGTACCAGGAATACTTTTTAAATAAAGAGGCAGTGTTGTTTTTAACAGTTAAGCTATGCTTGACCACCACAGCATATTCTCCAAACAGCTGCAGCTGCTGAGTGAAATTCTCTTGTCACCTGACCAGTCCAAGCACTGTGTATAATGCAAAATGACAACAGTCTGGATGAAAAAGCCTATTTTTGCTAATGCTCAAACAAAGAAACATATGAGTTGCCATTTACTCCTTGTTCTTAGATTATAGCTTCTATTAAATGTCTTTTCTGCACTCTCCCAGGCATTATGAAATGGACATATTAACAAACAAGGATTTATGCCAAAAATAGACCAGGGTATTTAAAGTGTGTGACAAAACCAAGCTTTATAATGTGGCTCCAGCCAATTGCATCTTGACTATGGTGGAACATCTAGCTGAGGTCTCAGGTCCCAATATGCAGCACTCCATATTGGTCCAGGAGATCTGATTTTTTTGGATCAAGATGGAATACTACGTGGTGAGACCAGCAGTCTCCGAGACCTGAATGTTCAAGACTGGAAGCAATGGCAATTTGCTCCATTTTTTTTGTAATCCAAATTGCTGACCTACAATTGTGACCATATTTTCAGTGTGACCCTTGGTATATGCCCTCTTGTGTTTCTCTATTTGTGTATTAATGCAGAAAAATTCTGCAGGCAGTGGCCAGAGGAGGCAG